AGCTTAGTATGAATAAATTAACATAAAACTGTGGCTCTAATGGTATACATGTGTCTAACACAAATAAAATCGTTACGATGAATAGCTAGGTGTTGATATGCACGAAGCTAGCTTGACCATGACAATAATATATTTTAGATTATTCGATTTAAAATTATAAGAAATCGACTGCCTTTTTAGTCAAATTCTGTAAATCTTAAATTAGAATTTTATTACATCAGATAGCGTATACGAAATAAATTATCCAAGCTTAAGCTGTATTCATCCTAAATGGAGGGAATAACTCTAAATCATAGGAGTATATATAAATTGTAGCTGTAATGAATATCGTGTGATTAACTCAACCTATCTGTGCCCCAAGCACATTGGGTTAAGTCTCAAAAATCGAATAGTCTGTGGCTCACAATTCAATACAAACACTATCTACGGTAAGCCTAAGTTCCAGTACATTCAGACCGATTATTATAAAGGAATTCGATCCTTAATGTGTATGCAGTTAGCCATTTACGCTTTAATATTTTTATGGAGCTTACAATCATTTGCATGACACAAATCAAAATATGCTGTTTTGACTTGCATCAGCAGGCTTTTGTGAAAGCAATTCCTTGTTGTGTAGAGCAGTGTAGCTGCAGCAACATGTGAAATATCCTGGGGCCATAATTCAATGAACTCAGTAGACAGTGATATAATAATATGATACTCAGAATGCACTGAGATGATTTGGAGATGCTTTCTATTTACAACTGAGACAGATGAGAAGTTCATGGGAATTATCTAGCAACAATATGAAGAGCGCTTGCCTTTATGAAATACCAAAAGCAACTAGTGTAGCCGTACAGTAAGCCTTAAACAAAGTAACCTAAATGTATCCAACTGATTACCGTCTATGCCGAGATTAGACAGCTTTACACGTAATGGATGCTGGGTAGGGAGATTAATCAAATCATGGATTAACGATCTGACTGGGACACGGTCCAGACCAAGATGATGGTATACGATTATGCTAGGCTCGAAGGTAGCGTAGACAAGTACTGGTTCGTTGCAGCAAGGTTTAACGGCGTACTGGCCAGCCGTAAATGCGTGACAGGCTTGGCCGAGCATGAAGCGTAGGATCTCACGTCGGTGGTTAAATACGTATGTAGTTCCGTTCCATTGGCATGCACAAACTGAGTCACAGTTGTCTGCAAGCTGAATAGTTGAGAGATGATGGTAACGGGTAAAATGAAAAATTTAATATGGATTTCCATAAACGCTTGAAGTAAAAGCTTATGGAAAAATAAATGAAGCGCAATAAATGTACAAATATGTAGATGCCCAAAGTTGAAGTCATCTAATAATGGTATTATATTTCTTTATTAATTTATGTATTGTTAAAAATAATTTTTTCTATCAGCAAGCAACACAATACGCATTCATGTAGAAGGTATAATAATAAATAAATAGTGACTAACAGGATAAAATTCAAAGATAATTAGTTAAATCGTAGATATGAAGATCAAGATAGTGTGGCTTTATGTTTGGTCACAGCCTCCTTTAGCTTTATAGTGTTTGTTCAACCTTGTCTGCGCAACTTAGTCGGAATGTCAGGGAGACTTTGTGGAACGCATCTGGTCCAGTGTCCTCTGCCATAGCATTCGGGATTTCCAGTATTGGACCATTGGCTAGCGACGCTTATAAACGTTTCGCCGACAGCCAGTGAGAGGCTACATTGTGAGCACAGAGATACAACTTATCAAAAGTGGTAAGTTGTAACTCTGCGCTTATGATATAGCCTCTCACTGGCTGTCAGCGAAACGTTTGTAAGCGTCGCTAGCCAATGGTCCAATACTGGAAATCCCGAATACTATGGCAGAGGACACTGGACCAGATATGTTCCACAGGGTCTCCCTGACGCTCCGACTAAGTTGCGAAGACAAGTTCAAACAAATACTATGATTAATTAAATGCTATAGAAAAATATTCGCAATTGATTACATCTAAGAGAGAATAAATAGTAGAGGTTAAATAGATTACGGATTAAAATTTAATCATGTCCTATGTAATGTAAAGAGAATGTGAAGACAACTTATATTTAGGCTCAAGGACTTGTAAGCATAAACATTGATTCTGAATTTTAATTATCGATTAAAAAGTAGACTGATAAACCCTTTAATTTGTCTAAATGGAAAATACATCAAATCATCACAGATTAGGGGTTACGAATCTTACTGTGAGCTGTGTCTTGGAGAGACCAAATAATTCACCTCGCACATGAAGTTGTGCACACCAAATAATGTCAGGATTCTCATGACCTTCTTTGACGTCGACCAAAAGTATAGTTCCGTCAGCCAAGCAAAGTGCAACGTATGGAGATTGATCAGAGTCGCACTGAATGGCAGAGTCAACCGAGATTCTGCGACGCACATTCCCCACAAGAAGAGTCCGAGTATCTGTGTTCCGAGTGTTTGATAGTCGAGGCGGATAGTATGTCAGTTTGGGACTAAAGGCATAAATTTAAGACTATGGATGATACCGCAATAAGAAGCCTGCCGATTGGCCAAGTCAATACATACTTTGATTTAAACGATATTGGATACTATACAAGCCGATTATTAAAAATCCTGCGATATTTTTTGCTAAAATGCCTTTTGATAACAGCATAAGATGAACAAGCTAATAAGCAAATTAATTCGTTAGTAAAGATTATTCAAAGGAACTCGATGGCGAATATGGGAAAAATTGCATTAAAAGTATGTGGACAGGGTTAGGATAAATAAACTCAAGCATAATACGTAAATTATATAAAATGCAGTGTGTCACCTTATTCTATCTTCATACATTTCGAAATCAAAACGTAAATGAGCGAAGGCCCCACTGGGTTGAGAAGCTAGAAGCTGAAATATGGACATAAAAAAATAACTTATGCTTCGAGCTTGTCCAGATGAATAAGTTAGTACAATATTTGCGAATCTACTATTATAAAATGGAAGATATTTCACAAGTTATTGGCAAAATATAATAGAAGGCTTGAGGATGTGAAACGAAGCCATTTTCGATTTAGACGGAAAGTCAAAATACAAAGATAAATGTAAGCTGTGTAGTTATTTGGAGTATTAAATGTTCGGGCATATAAAAGGTTATAATTAACTGACCATGCCTTGTGAATTTGCCTTGTTATGCAGATCGATACGACCTATCTGAAAAAGTGGAATAAATAATTATTTA